TTTTAAATGTTTTTATATATTGTTTATTTTATTAAGTACCTAGCTCGAGTGTTGCATTTTCCTCGCACAGAATCAGTAATAACTCGGGAAGGAAGTGACTAATCCAAAATATCTTTTGTCGTTCTGGTCTCGGGGCCGTGCTTAAACTGGAAGACTAGTATTGATACAGACGGGCAAAGTGCGGACAATAGCGTTCAGTTTCCTTTTGGAAAATGCGCTAAAAACGTCTGAACGTTCGCACGTTTACTCAAAAACCACGTTCATCGTCCTCAAACAAGGGTACTCGAATCAAGGCCTGTGATTTCATATGTCCAAACTCGAAAAAAATCGAAATTTTTAAATTGCCTATATACTATATAGCCTTCCCATACAAGAACCGAAGAAAAAAAATGTCTCTTTTCCGATGGTATCATCCTTATATGCACTTGTGGACAGAGCTGGGCAGAATACTTTCAAAAAGTATTTGAATAAGTACTAAATAGTAAATACTTTACACAAATCAAAGGTATTTGAATACTAAATACTTTTACGTCCAGCACAAGCGAATACTAGATACAGATACATTGAAAAGTATTCAAATACTTAAAAAAATAAGTATTCAAATACTTTAGAATGTATTCGAATACTTTCAAAAGTATTCTAATACTATCAAAGGTATTCGAATGCTATAAAAAGTATTCGAATACTTTGAAAAGTATTCGAATACAGTAAAAAGTATTCAAATACTTGTCACTCAAATACATTAAAAATTTAAAATAGTATACTAGATAAAAGGCTTAATACTACTTAAAAAATCAAGTTATACTTTGTATGGGGTTACCTTTTTTTATATTTCTATTGTTATAGGTATACAAATTTAAGGGGAGTAAAAGCGTATTATTATTTTATATTATTATATAGCAGGTACCTACCATCAGGACCTTTCTTATACCAATTATATCTTTAAGAATACGTGTACAAGTTTTCAAAGCGATCGTATACGTCGTGCACATGATACGTACGCCTTTCTGAAATTAATCCTAGCGATTTTGGAATATCCATTTTTGACCATCCGGTTGTCCGTGTGCATGATAACTTGTTTAGAAACGTGCGATCGCTTTGAAAATTGGTACACATGGTCTTAAGGATATAAGAAAGGTCCCTATTGTTTTTAAGTTACGTAGACTATCGAGTTCGGTATTCAGATGTATCTGATTTTTATATTTGATTTTGTGACAATGGAAACTTTCCCTAAACATTTCTAAATTGTTCTCAAATATTTGAATAACTTAAAAGTACTGCCTTTTTTTGAGGCCCGAAAAAAAAATTGTCTCAGATCGACCCGGACAAAAATTTTCTTATAGAATGTGGCCTGTAGAATCCAGATTTTCAAACAGTTCCAAGATTGGGCTACTAGTTCAAAAGTTACAGCCCTTTGAATTTTCTTTCGAAATTGATGGTTTCTAGTCTATAACTTTTGATTGAGAAGTCTAATCGAAAAAGTACGAATTGTTTTGGATTCTACGCACCAAATCTTCTGCAATCATTATTACTTTTGTCATTTTCTCTGATGCCAGTATAGAAATGACTTGTAAAACGTTCACTCATGTCCTTTATACTTGATTTTAGTGAAGAAATGAACCCACGAATTAGCAACACTCAGAACCATCTCAATCACATACAAAACTAGACACAAACCAGCGCAAGTTTAAAAGGAAGCAGTTTAGTTCAGAAACACACCCCTAGCAATGATTCTAACCTCTTACAAATCTAGTGACCGTAGTTGCCGTGACCCCGAAATCGATAATCATTAATCAATCAATAACACAGAAAGAGCATGAGGTGAATAACCTTTAGCGATGAGTAACCGAAATCGATAATCAATCAACACGAACAATACCCATGAGGAGAATCCACTATATGAAAATAGCAGAGTTTTCTAGTGACTTGACACTAGCAGAGTTTCAAACCTAGTTACCTTCGCACATCTAGTGATTTTCTGAGTTTGAATCGGTCCTATATCACTAGCAGAGTTTCAAAGCTCTCTAGTGACTCAGAGTTTCAAACCTAGAACTTACTTTTCTAGTGACTGTTAGCAGAGTTTTAAACCTCTAGTGACCGTCGAGTGACAGAGTTTCAAACCTAATTACTTTTCTAGTGGCTGTTTTTTTTCACATCTAGTGATTTTTAGAATTTAGAATCGGCCCCTATATCACTAGCAGAGCTTCAAACCTCTCTAGTGACACTTTAGTTCAGGACACAACACGCGTTCAACTCTTAGCTCGGACACAAACCTCCGATACTTTAGCTCAGACGCAAACCTCGACCCCTTGACCTTGACGTTAGCACTGGCGCAAACCTCGCCAGCGGAGTTACAAACCTAGTTACTTTTCTAGTGACTTTTCGTGTCTAGTGACTTTTTCTAGTGACTTTTTGATTTAGAATCGGCCCCTATATCACTAGCAGAGCTTCAAACCTCTCTAGTGACGCCGAGTTTCAAACCTCTCGTGACCTTCTAGTGACTTTGAGCAGAGTTTCAAACCTAGTTACTTTTCTAGTGACTTTTTTTCACATCTAGCGACTTTTGAGTTAGAATCGGCCTTATATCACTACTAAAAAGTGTTTTCCCGAGAAATTTTGGAGTAGTTGATTTTTGGTAATCAAATACTATGCGAAGTATTCGAATACTTCTCAAAGTATTCAAATACCTTGCGAAGTATTCGAATACTTTACGAAGTATCCAAATACTTTGCGAAGTATTCGAATACTAAATATTTGTGAAAGTATTTGAGTTACAAAAACAAATACTGCTTCCATAAAAGTATTTAATTACAAAGTATTTGAATACTTTAAATGATTTGAATACTAAAAAGTATTTACAAAATCGAATACTGCCCAGCTCTGCGTGTGGATTAAATTCTTTAAACATTTTGTTACTAAACGATTACTTTAGAGAACACATATGTTTTATATGCTTACCATCCCGACAGTACAGTCGAAAGTGTGTTACCAAAATCGATATGCAACAAAAATGTTTACGCAACATTTATAAACTAAAATCGACGTTAAACTATGAGATGCAAAAATGTGGTGAAGATTTGAGGCCCCTAAGCGACCTTTTTGGGGACTCAACCATTGGCATTAACTAAAAATTGCATTGATATTTAAATGATAGGAAACTGAAGGCAGTTTGACGCGAATAATAAATCGTGACCCAGTAAAAACGTAATGCTTTGACGGGTGCGAGATTGAGCTTTCGTTTTAAATGTTATTTAAAGTGCTAAAGGCAAAAATTTCAAATACGTATGATGTACTTACACGTTTTTTTATGATACATAAGTGTAAAGTAAATGATCTGTGTAAAATTGTGACAGAGTAGTATGCAATCCATAGCATGAAACGAAACGAGATTACGCACACATGCGAAATAGTCAACATTCCTATTTGTGGATCAATTTTATCGAAGTTTTTATGGTATAGGTTCCTCTAAGAAAAGTAAATAAAATGAAGTGCCAAAAATTGTACTTTCTCGAGTGTAGATTAAACCCCAAAACTAAAGACACAAACGCAGAATACCAAATTTTTGACGGTATTTGTGCGAAATATTTTCACTATCAATGTCTTAGTGCTTTTTTGAGCCGAATCAAACTTCTTTTCGCTTTTTTCGCATTTCAAAAAATTTTAACCATACTTAAAAAACAACTCTAAACTACATTGTCACAATAATCAAGTAAAAAAATTACAGAACGATAAAACAATAAAAAATGTTCCAAAACCCACTCGTGGGTATTGCCGCGTAACACAAAGTATTGAAACGATGCGTTGCCATCGAAAGCACACAAAATGTCGAATCTGCATATTGAAGCACGTCCACGTCCAGAGAAAGAGAGGAGTTAAATAAGTAAAATAAAGTTTCAAAGAAATATCTCCATAAATAAGAAAGTTGGCATTGCGCAGTCACTGCGCATGCCCACACATAATTTTTACCATGTGCGAAATGTTTGCCTTTACTAGAAGCAGCTGTGGTTCAAATTCCAAAGAAATATCCCCATACATAAGAAAGTTGGCAATTGTGCAGTTACGGCGCATGCACTGCGCAATGCCAACACATAATTTGTACTGTGTGTGAAATGTTTGCCTTTACTAGGAGAATCTGTGATTAAAATTGCAAAGAAATATCTACATAAATGCGAAAGTTGCCATTGCGCAGTCACTGCGCATGCCTCCACATAATTTTTACTATGTGCGAAATGTTTGCCTTTACTAGAAGCATCTGTGGTTCAAATTTCAAAGAAATATCTCTATAAATGAGAAAGTTGGCATTGCGCAGTCACTGCGCATGCCCACACATAATTTTTACCATATGCGAAATGTTTACTTTTACTAGAAGCGTCTGTGGTTAAAATTTCAAAGAAATATCTCCATAAATAAGAAATTTGGCATTGCGCAGTATGCCCACACATCACTGCGCATGCCCACACATTATTTTTACTATGCGCGAAATGTTTGCCTTTACTAGAAGCGTCTGAGGTTAAAATTTCAAAGCAATATTTCCATAAATAAGAAAGTTGGCATTGCGCAGTCACTGCGCATGCCCACATAATTTTTACTATGCGCGAAATGTTTATCTTTACTAGAAGGGTCTGTGGTTAAAATTTCAGAGAAATATCCCTATAAATATGAAAGTTGGCATTGCGCAGTCTGCGCAAAATATGGAGTTAAATGAAACTGATCGAAATGGGCAAATATAGACCATAACAGCTATCAATTAGCGAAAACGCGAAGTCTCTAGGTGGCCCAGGGGCCGAGATCTCGATGGAACGGACGGACGGACGGACGGACGGACGGAAACACGAGCACATAAGCTTTACCTCAACTTCGTTGTGTTACGCTAAAAAACGGCGATTGCCAACAGAAATATGTTGGTGATCCGTAAGGACCTATCTAGTTTAGTCAATACCATTGTTTATGAAACAAGAGATCTTTGAGGAACCATTTTAACGACTTAATTTTTCTTTAAGGCAAGTGCAAGAGCAAACATTGGAAACATCCCCCACACGACCCCAAAACGTCTACACGTCTCCGCAAAGTACCGACGATACCGCAAATATTGGAACAGTGTTGTATTCGCAGGCTCCGACACCAACACAACCTTACCCATATTATCATAGCACAACTCGTTTCAGTACATCTACCGAAACTAATGCTGATCTACACGACTGTCCCTCGTTAGATGGCGATATGGATAAGTTAACTGTGAATCAACTGTTATCAACATTAACCCACGAGTGTCGATATGATAAAGTTACAAGACCGCCCATGGACGAACCGCTTAACGTCACCTTACAACTCGATATCATGCATATAGAAGCTATCGAACAACTGGTGAACTGATAGAATCTCAGCTTTCTGATGCCTAATCGTTTTTTGTTGTAGAAATTCAAAATGCACATGTTGGTAGCGTATCGATACACAGATTATAGGTTGCGATACAGCGATTTGTCACCTGACAGAGGTGCTATGTTAGGTGAAGAATTATTGAGAAACAAAATATGGGTTCCCCACGTTATACTGATGAACGAGCGAGAAAACTCCATTATGGGCTTGGAGGGAAACGACCAGTTTGTTTCCATTAGTCCGCACGGTGAAGTCATTTACTCTTATAGAATGACCGCAACGATTTATTGCTGGATGGATTTGAAGAAGTTTCCATTTGACGCACAAGACTGCCATATTACTTTTAGGAGCTGTAAGTGTATTCCCACAATGTTGGCAACGAAGTCGAGATGAGTAATGAGTTGACTTATTATCATTCCACCATCTGACTTTTGTTCCTGTAGTTGCCATATGCACTTGATGTACCATTTAAATGATAGGTCTTCCTACAGGGACTTACAACGCTAGTAAACTTTTGCTAAGATGGGATGTGGTTGATCCGGTTAAAGTGGCGAATCAATTGCACTTAACGGAGTTTTCACTCATAAGGTACAATACACTTGCGAAGTTGGTACCAGCTTCACTATCGCGTGGTGCTTTTGGTAGATTCTCATTTACCTTTGCCCGTCGGTAATTTGGTTCTTTTAGTTGGGAACTACAGCGTTTTAACCTTCGAATTCAAATTGCAACGGGAAATAGGATTTTATATCATGGACTACTTCATACCTTCAACGTTGTTGGTAGCTACCTCATGGGTGACATTTTGGTTGCAGGCAGATAACGCAGCGCCTCGGATTACTTTAGGTAAAGACCTCTGCCCTGGGAAGGTGTTGTTAATTGCTATCTTGTAGGAACTTCAACAATGCTGGCATTTATTACCTTGGCTCAGGGACAAAGCAAACATCTACCTAAAGTGTCTTACATCAAAGCTAGCGAAATTTGGTTTTTAGGTTGTACAATATTCATATTTTTGTCCATGACCGAATTTGCATTTGTCAACATCATATGGAGGAGAAGGTAAGTACTCATCTGTGTTCTACGAAACTGCAAGTAATATCCTTAGGAAAAAAGTGGAACTAAAAAAAGTAAATAGCAAGTACATCCTGAAATCAACGTTGACGCCTAGACTCGCAAGAAAAGAATTTCAAAAATCCTCCTCGATGAACCAATTACACAAATCCCACTCCTGCTCAAGCTTAAATGAATGCGGGTGCAACAACAAAGATAATACTTATAACAACTATTTAACTGTACACGTTCGTATTACCCACATACTAAAGTCATGTACTTCTCTCCTATAATACACATTTCAGAGCTTTCCCAGTACAATGGAGATACCAAAAATTCAAACCGAAACCGAAAACGATCTTATGAGCATGGACAGCCAGCTCACTATTCCCGTGCCAAGTAGTCACAGCAATAACAAAACAAGTGAAAAATTGCAGAAATGGACCAGCATGACACCCCAAGAGGTCGCAATTTGGATTGATAAAAGGTCAAGATTGGTATTTCCATGCGCGTTTATCGTGTTTAACATGTTCTATTGGGCGTTTGTCTATGGACTGTAAATTCGAAGAGATCCAGCTTAATCTTTTAGCTTTCTTGTATACATTCGAAGAGTCTAGTTGCAGTATTTCTAGCTTTGTAAGGTTTAGCTACTTAGTAATTTATTGTAATATATTTTGAATAATTTAATGAAACGATACAAATTTGAACATCCACAGCATAACCATATCTCTTATGCAAATCAGACGTTCAGGGCCGAAGAGAGCCAGTGCTGTGAATTTTCCGGTCCCTTTACCCTGATTTGGTCTGACTCGCAAAAATTGAACCTTTAAGTTCATTTCCCTATCGTAACATTTAATTTATCCAGGATAAAGTATCAAGGCCGTCTAATGAGAGTTGGAGCAGCTTTTCCTAACGTGGTGAAGTTTCCTGGGTAGCAGTTCCAATAACTTAGGGTCTCATTGTGGATCATCTTTTTGGCTTCGTGTAGTACAATCGGTGCCTCCGGTGGATTATCTTTCGTTGTCGCAGCTTTTCGGCCTAGTTCTTCGTTTCCTACGATTCCTGTGTGCGCCGGTATTCACGCAAAACTGACATGCTTATGGAGGAGAACCCGAGGTGGTATGGTTTTTGGTATGAATGTCTTTATAATTGGGTTGGAGGTGAATTGATTTTGCTAGACATCGAGTTGGGTGCTGTCAGAGGCGTTCGTGAATTATCTCCAAGGTGTGTGAGATTGCCTTGAACTCACAGGAGCAATCGGGAGTTCGCCGAGCTGCTACCGTCTTACTATTCCGTATTCTGTTTTTCCGTTGGGAACTGAACCATCCGTGTAGTACTCAATGCACAATAAAAATTCGTTCTGCATTTCGAGGAAGAGAGTTTTAAAGATTCCTGGGCTCGCAGTAGGCTTGTCATGTGCGCTGAGGTCGAAGTTTATAGGTATGTTCCATTGATTCCACAGAGGGAAATATCCTAGTGATCTCTCATACACAGCTGGAAGAGTGATCCTAAGCTCAGCTGCATATCTGACAGTATTATCCGGCGTTGAAGAAATTGCTACCGCGTCCTTTAGGCAGAGTTTTTTCCTTCTGATAGCTAAGGGGAGCTCCCCTGCCTCTGTGGTTTGTTTTATTCGCAGCATCATATACAGTGATATTTATTAAGAAATAGACATAGGGATTTACGTGTATTTTTTTTTCCTATGTGTACTTGGAAATGACAAAATCTCTTCTGAAGGATCACCTAATTTTATGCAACCAAAATAACTTCTTAAAACAAATAAAGATCTAGCTGTCATATTAATTAATTTGAATATTGTGGCTTTGGCTTCATAAAAAATAAATCTCTTACGCTCGTTAAACTATTACCGGCACTATACCGGCATATATCCAATAGACAATAGTCCACATTTGACTGTCCAAGTTTGGGGGTCAGACACAGCCTTTTTGACAATATGGAACGTTGGAAAGTGTACTCGATATTAAGTTCGCAATAAAGGCATCCTCTAGGAAGCGTTCAAGCTGCTAGAATAAGCATGGAAATTCTTTAGGTCAGTTGCTCATTGCTTGTTGTACTTACTAGGTAGGACCAGTGTCTTTGGGTCAGATTTCGCTTTTTTTGTCTCCTCTGATCTACATTGGAGGGTTTTGTAAAAAGTTGATGATGAGTTGTCAAAACAACTTGTGAGGATCTTCTGATCATGCATTTCGGGGCGCATCCGACTTTCCATTAGAGCCTCACTGTCTGTTTCTACTTGTTGTTTGGTGATTTCGGGGCAAACCTTCGCTAAATGCTCTCTTTTTTACAGTCTAGAACTCTCGTGTATGGAATATCTTGCAGAAAAGAAAAGTTTGACCACATTTCCTATACATAATCCATATAAGCATATTCATTTTCTTAAATATTTTGGGGGAGGATGTAGCACTGGAGAATCTGGGGGTATGAAATACTCCTAGCCCCAGCACACAGCAGGAATCGATTATCATTTCTCACAAACTACCATGCTTCTGCGATAGGGCCATCAAATCTCATTTTTGCTAGGGGGTTTTCCATAGACCGCAGACCTCCCGGTGCTACATCCTCTCCCAAAACGTTCAGTCCTTAGAAATCTAGTGTATGGCTCAAAAAAGAAAACTTTGATGATCCTGCCTACAAAATAAAAATAATTATAACCATACTAGGTAATTGTAATCATTTTGGTGGAGAACGTAGCACTGGAGCCTGGGGAAATGGAATACCCCCTCCCCCAGCACAGAGGGAATATCAATTACATTTTTCCAAAAAACTATCACGACAGTTGCTTTCGGGCTAAGATAATCAAATCTTCCTTATAGTCTCTACTACGATATGCTTATAGCCGTTGGGGGGGGGGGGTGTATTCTATAAACCCCAGACCACCCGGTGCTATATTACAACTCTCGTGTATGAAATATCTTCCAGAAAAGAAAAATTTAACCACCCTTCCTTCAAAAATCATAAGTCTGAGAGAGTATGGAATACCCTCCAGCCCACAGAAGGAATCGAGTATATATTTTTCATACTCCCCCGGTTCTACATTTTCCGCCATAACGTTCACCCCTTTGAAGTATCGTGTATGAATTATGCTCGTTCAAAAGTTACAGCCATTTGAATTTTCTTTCGAAATTGGTCTATAACTTTTGATTGAGAAGTCTAATCGAAAAAGTACGAATTGATTTGGATTCTACGCACCCAAATTAATAAGAAAAAGTGTTTTCCCAAGAAATTTTGGTGCAGTCGATTTTTTGAGGCCCGAAAAAAAATTGTCTCAGATCGACCTGGAAAAAAATTTTTCTTATTGAATGTGGCCTGTAGAATCCATATTTTCAAACAGTTTCAAGATTGGGCTACTAGTTCAAAAGTTACAGCCCTTTGAATTTTCTTTCGAAATTGGTTTCTAGTCTATAACTTTTTATTGAGAAGTCTGATCGAAAAGGTACGAATTGTTTTGGATTCTAAGCACCAAAATTAATAAGAACAAGTGTTTTCCCGAGAAATTTTGGTGCAGTCGATTTTTGGTAAAAAAGGAAGTGTATACACTGCCTTTTTTTGAGGCCCGAAAAAAAATTGTCTCAGATCGACCTGGAAAAAAAATTTTCTTATAGAATGTGGCCTGTAGAATCCATAATTTCAAACAGTTCCAAGATTGGGCTACTAGTTCAAAAGTTACAGCCCTTTGAATTTTCTTTCGAAATTGGTTTCTAGTCTATAACTTTTGATTGAAAAATCTAATCGAAAAAGTACGAATTGTTTTGGATTCTACGCACCAAAATTAATAAGAAAAAGTGTTTTCCCGAGAAATTTTGGTGCAGTCGATTTTTGGTAAAAAGGATACACTGCCTTTTTTTGAGGCCCGAAAAAAAAATTGTCTCAGATCGACCCGGAAAGAAATTTTTCTTATAGAATGTGGCCTGTAGAACCCATATTTTCAAACAGTTCCAAGATTGGGCTACTAGTTCAAAAGTTACAGCCCTTTGAATTTTCTTTCGAAATTGGTTTCTTTTCTAGTCTATAACTTTTGATTGAGAAGTCTGATCGAAAAAGTACGAATTGTTTTGGATTCTACGCACCAAAATTAATAATAAAAAGTGTTTTCCCGAGAAATTTTGGTGTAGTCGATTTTTGATAAAAAAGGAAGTGTTATACACTGCTTTTTTTTGGGGCCCGAAAAAAAAATTGTCTCAGATCGACCCGGAAAGAAATTTTTCTTATAGAATGTGGCCTGTAGAACCCATATTTTCAAACAGTTTCAAGATTGGGCTACTAGTTCAAAAGTTACAGCCCTTTGAATTTTCTTTCGAAATTGGTTTCTAGTCTATAACTTTTGATTGAAAAATCTAATCGAAAAAGTACGAATTGTTTTGGATTCTACGCACCAAAATTAATAAGAAAAAGTGTTTTCCCGAGAAATTTTGGTGCAGTCGATTTTTGGTAAAAAGGATACACAGCCTTTTTTTGAGGCCCGAAAAAAAAATTGTCTCAGATCGACCCGGAAAGAAATTTTTCTTATAGAATGTGGCCTGTAGAACCCATATTTTCAAACAGTTCCAAGATTGGGCTACTAGTTCAAAAGTTACAGCCCTTTGAATTTTCTTTCGAAATTGGTTTCTAGTCTATAACTTTGATTGAGAAGTCTGATCGAAAAAGTACGAATTGTTTTGGATTCTACGCACCAAAATTAATAAGAAAAAGTGTTTTCCCGAGAAATTTTGGTGTAGTCGATTTTTGGTAAAAAAGGAAGGTTATACACTGCCTTTTTTTGAGCCCCGAAAAAAAAATTGTCTCAGATCGACCCGGAAAAAAATTTTCTTATAGAATGTGGCCTGTAGAATCCATAATTTCAAACAGTTCCAAGATTGGGCTACTAGTTCAAAAGTTACAGCCCTTTGAATTTTCTTTCGAAATTGGTTTCTAGTCTATAACTTTTGATTGAGAAGTCTGATCGAAAAAGTACGAATTGTTTTGGATTCTACGCACCAAAATTAATAAGAAAAAGTGTTTTCCCGAGAAATTTTGGTGCAGTCGATTTTTGGTAAAAAAAAGGAAGGTAAATACACTGCCTTCTTTTGGGCCTCGAAAAAAAAATTGTCTCAGATCGATCCGGAAAAAAAATTTTCTTAATAATATGGCCTGTAGAATCCATAATTTCAAACAGTTCCAAGATTGGGCTACTAGTTCAAATGTTACACCCCTTGGAATTTGACGAAATTGGTTTCTAGTCTATAAATTTTGATTGAGAAGTCTAATCGAAAAAGTACGAATATTGTTTTGGATTCTACGCACCAAAATTAATAAGAAAAAGTGTTTTCCCGAGAAATTTTGGTGCAGTCGATTTTTGGTAAAAAAGGAAGGTAATACACTGCCTTTTTTTGGGACTCGAAGAAAAAATTGTCTCAGTTCGATCCGGAAAAAAAATTTTCTTGTAGAATGTGGCCTGTAGAATCCATAATTTCAAACAGTTCCAAGATTGGGCTACTTGTTCAAATGTTACAGCCCTTTGAATTTTTTTTCGAAATTGGTTTCTAGTCCATAACTTTTGATTGAGAAGTCCGATCGAAAAAGTACGAATTGATTTGGATTCTACACACCAAAATTAGTAAGAAAAAGTGTTTTCCCGAGAACTTTTGGTGCAGTCGTTTTTTGGTAAAAAAGGAAGGTTATAACCTGCCTTTTTTGAGCTCAGAAAAAAAAAA